TTTACTTAATGAGGATTAAGGCTGAAGTTTACAGTAGCAGTGGCAGAATTTATGAGTATATTTATTTAATCATGGAGGTAGATAAATGACAACACAGTGCCAGAAAGATTATTCATTACTATTGAAATTTGATACAGTAAGAACTCAGAGGTGAGCCCTGGCCAGGTGGCTCAGATGTTTGGAGCATCGTCCCATACGCCAAACAGTTGTGGGTTCCATTCCCTGTCAAGGCACATAACTATGTAGTGGGTTTGATCCCTGGTTGGTATGTGTTCAGAAGGCAACTCAGCAATGCTTCTCTTTCATAGATGTTTCTCCCTCCCTCAAATTAATAAACATATCCTTGGATGTGGATTAAAAAAAACTCAGAGGTGAAGCAAAACCTAATTTACCTCATTGCATTTGATAAGCTCAGTTATTTATTTTTTGGGAAATACATTTGAAACAACAGATTGGTAAGAGGGGATGACAACCGTCTAGACACAAACACTGACAATAGCGACTACTTGATGGTGATGAAAAAGATAAATTAAAATAGCAAATAGACCTATAAACAGCTAGCTGATTGTGACCATCTAATGTGGCATGAAGAGTGCTTACTCATTCTAGTCCAGGGGTGGGCAAACTTTTTGACTCGAGGGCCACAATGGGTTCTTAAACTGGACCGGAGGGCCGGAACAAAAGCATGGATGGAGTGTTTGTGTGAACTAATATAAATTCAAAGTAAACATCATTACATAAAAGGGTACGGTCTTTTTTTTTTTTTTTAGTTTTATTCATTTCAAACGGGCCGGATCCGACCCACGGGCCGTAGTTTGCCCACTGCTGTTCTAGTCCTTTAGTATGATTACGTCCCATAACATGACATTTGGTGATTGTAGTTTGAACAAAAGATTCATGGTGAGATGGGGCATTGCCAGTACAAATTGACTTATCAGCTATTAATAGACCCTGCAGGATGGCATACCTTGATGAATATATCCCAATCAGTAATTTGCCTTTGAGGATTCAGGAATTCTAATTTTGTAAGGCTTACTCCTTTGTATTTTCTTCTCATGTGTCCTCCCCCCATCTCACTTCATCTCTTCCTCCCTCCTTCCCTTCCTCTCCTACCTCTCTATCCTACCTTTCTCCCTTCCTCCCTCCTTTACCTCTCTACCCTACCCTTCACCCTCCCTCCTCTCCTTTGTTTTCTTCTTCTCTCTCACATTAATGGTGTTTTTTTTTTTCCTCTCTCTCTCATCTTTTGCTGACTAAATCACAAGATTTATATACTAGAATGTCAATATATTAACCTTTGATATATAATCATACTATCTAGTGGATCCCTTTATTCATATGTTTCTTGGAAATAGAACACATTTCTGTTGGGTAATAAAACTATGTATGAACCAGGTTCTCAAAAATGTGTTTGGCATGGCCGGCGTGGCTCAGTGGTTTGATTGTCAACCTATGAACTAGGAGGTCACATGTTTGGTTCCTGGTCAGGGCACATACCTGGGTTGTGGGCTTAGTCCCCCATGTAGGGCATGCAGGAGGCAGCCAATCAATGATTCTCTCTTATCAATGATGTTTCTAGTTCCCTCTCCCTTCCTCTCTGATATCAATAAAATATTTTTTAAAAAATGTGTTTGGTGAGGATAGGTTCACAATAAGGAAATTCAGTTTTATATTTTGAATGTTTAAGGCATTTTTTTTTTTTCTGAAAGTGTGTTCTATATAATTCTCAACCCATAAAGATGCTCTGCAAAAGAAGGAGGTGTGTGGTTAAATAAGTACTATACAATATTTTTTCTTGTTGAGTTCCAGGGCAGATTGAGTTTGAGGAATCTTTCTTAAAAAGAAAGCCTGTTTAACTTAGATTAACTCAATGTTGCCCAGGCAGAAGTGACACAGGAACCCACCCAGCCCCAACATACACACATAATAGCTTTCAGAATAAATGTTTATTAGCATCATATTTTTATAGTTAGATTTTTTTCTTCTTCTAGGTAGGACAAGGTGAATTTACTGGCTTACTAGACACCCGTCTTTGACTCTGTTTTCTTTTTATATAACCTTTTGTCCCAGTTAGCCACTTTCACTTTCTATTGATTTTCCCTTCTTCCTCCCTTCTTTTAGAAAGATATTTTAAAAACTATTATTGAATATTTTGGCCTGGGAGCCATTTGTTTTTTCGTGTCACTCTATTGTGATGTCTAAAGTGTTGAGTTCAACTTGCAGAGGGAAACTATTTCTAAGTTCTCAGGGATGGGAAGTCTAAATTGTTTATCTAAACAATGTTGCACTTATAAGATCCCTGAAAATAATAATACAGGGTGTACAGAAAATATTTCATATCTCCTGTTTAATAACTTTGGAATTGTATTAAAATGTATTTAGAAAAATTTCTTTTAAAAAAGGTTTAACATTGTGTTACTTTAAAAAGATATTTTTCTGTTACCTGAAAAATTTAGACATGTTAGAATGTTTTGTAGACTTTAACAATATTTGAACCTAAGTGGATATTTAAAAAAAATTCTGTAGGTCATGATTTTGCTTTGAGTATCCAGTTATTATTTGTTATCTACTTAACTTTATTTTGAAATACTTGCAGCTCACTAATTTAGATTGTAAAATGTTGTTATGTTTCTGTTATATAACTCTGTTGGGTTAAAGTGGATCCATTTTTGTATTCCATTCATGGGTCCAATGTACTTTTTTTCTACACAGTTATTAAGAGGGCTTCGAAGGTAAAACAGAGCTTTATAATTAATTTTCTTCTTTAAACGTTTATAATAATATGCTTTATAAAGGATAACAGCACATAATTATCTAGCTGATTATATTTATTACATGCTTTCACATACATTTTTCCATGAGGAAGATCAGGAAGGTCAGAACATGCTGGGAGGGACAAAAATTCTGGCCCTACCTCCACCATTTGTAATAGGCATGTCTCTCCATTTGCTGTCCATTCACTCATTCATTTTATATTTAACTAGAGGCCTGGAGCATGAAAATTCATGCACTGGAGGGGGCGCCCCTCAGCCCGGCCTGCCTCCTCTCACAGTCCGGGAGCCCTCAGGGGCGGGAGGTGACCCGGCGATCAAGGGAAGGCCACGCCCCATCACACTTCTGCTGCTGCCACTGCCGGCAGCACAAGCCTCGGCCGGCCCTGATTATCTGAGTCTTGGACCTGCCCTGGGCGGCTGGGGGGCTGAGGGGACTGGGGGTCTCCGGAGGCAGGCACGTGGAGCAGCCGCACGCCTGCCACCCCGGTAAGACTGAGGGGACTGGGCACCGGCATCTTGTGGCTGTGGGCGCCACCATCTTTGAGGGCGTGGCAGCAATGAGCATATTCCCTCCTTATTGGCTGTGGGTGCCACCATCTTTGCGATGGCCTGAGGGTCAATTAGCATATTCCCTCTTTATTAGATAGGATTGCCTAGTGTATAGTATGTACTTTCTGGGCAATAGGCGTAGAAAGATGAAATTAAGTCATTCACTTAGCTCTTAAAATTATTTTCTCACTTAACAGAGATGTGTCAATAGGATTAATATAAAGCCCTTGGTACATAGTAGGTTCACCTCTTGAATACTTAGAGTGGAGTGATGCTTTCTCACATGAAATTTGTTTCTACCAATAATAGAGAGGCTTTACATTTTTTCTTATTTATACTATAGAATCTTATTTCTCACAAAACCATAATTTGCTTTCAAAAATATATTTTTATACTATCTAAAAAGATCTTTATTTAGTGCTGCATTTATTTTACAAAGGTTAGATGCTTATTTTAGTGATGATTTGTCATTAAAATTATGTCAAAATGTCTTAAAATGTTGTTGAAACTGTAAACAAACTCATAACACACACAGAGCTAATTATGGATGCCATCTGTTTATTTTTACAAAGCTTTTTTTTTTTTTTTTGAAGACCATGGCATTGTTTGCTTATGATAAGCTTCAGGATTATTATAATGACTAAATCCTGTCCTTCAATTAGTGTAGTTGAAGATGGGAAGACAATTCGTTTGTTCACTGACCTTTTCCCGTGTCAGAGTGTATGAAATACAACACCATGGAAAAGAAACTATTGTGAAGTGCGTTTAGAACATACTTAATTTTTATGAGAAAAGAAATTGATACCAAAGCAGCAGATATTTAAAATTTTCAAACTTATTCAAGGCTTTAGGTGAGAGACAGATGATCTGTTCTTTAACGGTGCCATAAGTGGCTTTATTTTAGCCCAGTTCCGTTTAGGAACTTATAAGCTATTGATCAGATTTACAATGGTGTGTATCCCTGTTAGTATCCCTCTCTGTCAGTGCATGTTTTTGTACATGTGTATCCCATGTGTTAGTGTGGAAGGCCAGGGATCCCCATGACAGCATCATCCAAGGTAGTTACCAGCAATTTGCTGAGAGAGCAGAGTGATTTCACTGGCTCAGTTTTGCTGTTGTGCATGCTAAGCACTCCCCACGTAGGTCTGGAGGGAAAACAACCTGCAGGATCCATCTGCTGCTTTCTGCTACACTGCATTGATGTAAGAGTACGCTAATCGGGTTGCCTGTCAGGACAGGTTAGTGAAAGCATGCAAGTGGGTGAGACTTAGGCTGGACTAGTGCTTTGGAAAATCATAATCTGCCTCTGTAGATGCCATGCTAAATGTAGCAGAATAGGTTGATTATCAGCCACATTGAGGACTGCAGTTAAATATGTTATTTTCGGTTATGAATTAACCGAAATTTAAAGTGTTAAACATTGCTGGACCACTTCTAGTTAAAAACTGGGAAAAGTGATACAGATAGTTTACAAATACTTTCTAGTTGTTAGTTTTTCTTATCATACTTTTGCATGCTATTGTGTTTATTATTTAATTTCAATCTCTCAGTTTTTAGTCAAATATGATTAAATGTAATTAACGTTATTTTACCCAGAAATTATTGGGCTTGTTCTTGCTTATTTCTATTTATTTACCTTTTCCTACACCTATTGACTGGCAGATCTTGGCCTTGCAGGTTGAGCATCCTGTCACAGAATGCATTACTGGCCTGGACCTAGTCCAAGAAATGATCCGTGTTGCCAAGGGTTACCCTCTCAGGCACAAACAAGCTGATATTCCCATCAACGGCTGGGCAGTTGAATGTCGGGTGTATGCTGAGGTAAATGAATGATGTTGGGAGGAAGGAGGGTGATTGTATCTGAGTTATGAGACCCTAGGTATAGTTAAATAACAAAGTAAAGTTAGGATTTTATAATCCATGTCAAGTATTTGATTATGCAATCCAGAATTGAACCAGAAAATAAGGTTAGATAATTGTGACATAATTCAAAATATTTTAAAAGGATTGAGTTTAATTAATGTTCATGTATTTTTCCTAGATGGAAAAATAGCTACCAATCAGTTTAAGGGGCAACAAAGCATTTAATATTCTTATGCTTCAGTGCACCTTGGGTTTGTTTATTTGTTTGCTTGTTTCAAACCATATTCAAAATAAACTGCAGTATTTATTTCCATATTTGTAAGAGCTTACCCTGAGCACACATTAGTTGTTAATTCAATATTTACTTAAATATTTTTAACAGTTTTTTTTCCTAAAAAGTTCATCCCTTATGATTACATGAAAGTAATAATTGCAATTTAAGTTGCAAAGCTTTTGATAAAACTTCTCCTTCATAATTTTAATTTTACTCATAAACACTCAGTTCAGTACTTTCATGTTATTTTATAAAGATAACTATAAATCAGATAAAGCAATCAATGTCTGAAAATGCTGTTTTCAAATTATTAAAGCTGGAATGTAAGAAAACATACTGCCTTTTACTTTTAGACATGAAGCCTGTCTGTCGAAATAAAAAATAAATCAGCAGTATCGGAGTTTAAGAATACAGAAGTTGTTTGGAAGTGTTGTTTAAGGATCTTGAGAAATACGTTGTGGCTTGGTTATTGTTCAAGCTTTTTTATTATATTTTAAGTGTTATTCTTCCTTCTTGTTATGACACTGAATTTATGTAATTTTTATCCTGATGATCTAAGTTATTTATAGTTGTGCACATATCTACTACCATGTACAAAGCTGCTTTTCAGGTCTTTACTTAAAGAACAAAATGATCAGATTTTACCATATGTGAGCTGTTCTGAGAGTGAGAAAAACAAATATCTTTAGTCTACTACTTTTGTTGTTCTGAACTTGAGTGTGTTTTGATGTAGCGCCTAAGTTATTTTATTTTTGCCCAAGGCCTTCTAAGAAGATTTATTAAAAAGTTGGAATTTTACCAGTTTCAATAAAGTATAATCAAGGTTAGGCTAAATTCTGCTTACAGTTCTGTTTGATTTTTATACTTCTAAGTTGTCTAGAGTGAGTATAAGACAGTAATATTCTGAAATCTGTGACTTGATAAGTACTGTGTATGGAAAAATAGACCTATAAATGCTTCTTCATTGTGTAAATATTTAACCTTGTGCTCATCTGTATTTCAAAGACTGTGCTTCCTTTCCTTTGAACTTTCAGGACCCCTACAAGTCTTTTGGTTTACCGTCTATTGGGAGATTGTCTCAGTACCAAGAACCAATACATCTACCTGGTGTAAGTCATTAAACTGTAATACCAAGTGAAGGCTTAAAAATCTTGATTTATGTCATACTTTTATGTTAAAGCATGTCAACACCAACGGGTGTAAATTGAAGGAAAAGTGAAATTCATGGGGAATTACAATTTTTTTTTATTTTTTATATTTTGTACTTCATAATGTGCAGGAAGTCAGAATCCATTTGACAGGGGAAGTCTGGAAACATCTGACTTCTAATCTAAATAAATAATAGTTTACAATGTTCGTAATTCTTTCAAAAATTGTAATTAATAGAGCATGGAATCCTAAGAATGGGAAATGACTTTTCTGTTACAATTTAACCTTTTCAATAAGTCTAATCCAGCTTCCGTATATAGTCAGATGTCAGGAAATTCAAGCCCAAAATCAGCTTGTTAATTGAAATGGATTAAGGAAAACAAGCTACCTCATTTTGGATGTCACTGACTTTAAATACATATTATTTACACCAGTGAAAGAAAAATGATCACTGTCTACTTTATTCCCTTGTTCTTCTATATTTAATAGTTCTTTAAATAGTTTTTATTGCATAAAAAGAACAAGGACATACCCTTCTTTTAATCAAGGTAATAAGTGCACATATATATGACATGGTGTTAGCTGGTGTGTGACAAGGCTGTACCATCTGTGAATATGATTATTCAGTTTGATTACTGGCATGAAGATGGTGAAAGATTACAGGAAGAATTCTAAATTTGAAGATGTTATTGGATATATGATTTATTTCACTTTTAAAATTGTTTTTGCCCATGTGCTTTCTAAAGGGACTTGACCCTTTCTAGGGTCGAAGACTCCATGCTGTGTTCAAAGCCTGAAGGCAGAAAAAAAATTGTAAAGATTTAACAGGCATTATGTGATGTTAAATAGCAGATGAGAAAACAAGTATTATGGGGACACATCTAAACATTTTTTTTAATCAAACAAAAAGTATTAAGTAAGAATTCGTAATGATAACTCTAGTTGTTAGAAGTTTTCACCATGTTGTAATAGCTAGCAGGATGTCAAACATTTTGCCCTCGCAAGTTTTTGCAATTTGCAATTTTCGAACGTGAGACCTGTTGAAAGTATAAGTGATAATGGACAAACTATACCCCCTACGGTCTTTGTCCCTCCAAATCTTTCTTCAATTAATGCTGCAGCAGGAGTTTTATGTAATAACATTTGTGGTTGTGAGCCATCCATAGAAAGAAAAAACAATTAAAATGCCTTAAATGTTCTGCTTACTGCTGTTATTTGCTTGCGTGAATGTTGCATGTCAGCTAAATGGACCAAGGAATAGATAAAGTGATTGGGTGCGGGAGAGTGCACACTAAGCTTTGTCTATCATTATTGCTGGGAGCAATCAAATTGATGTCAGCAGGACAGTAGATGCGTTGACAGCTGTAATTATGTATCTCCATGGTGATCACTTTTGGCCTGTCATGGAGGCCCATGATTCCCCTTCCTTGGAAGCATTTAATCAGCTTGGGCTGTCACTTGTCAGGTAGACATGGTGGGCTGGGAGTTGTGTTGAGGGGGAGAGGTGAATCGGGAGTGAAGGGTGGGAGACGGGGCCACTGTTGGTACGGAGGAGAGACATTTAAATGATGCCAGAGGTTTCTGAGCAGTGGTTTGAGGCTCTCCTATATGGGTGCTTGGGTGTTCCCCTTCTTGCCTTCTTACAGTAGATCAGTCATTTTTAACATAGGAAATCCTTTGTGTCTCTTACCATTTTGGTCAAAAGAATATAAACTTCAGAGTTAAAGTATGGTTTGTACTTTTCACATGCTTCTTTAGGCCTAAAATTTATTTATATGGCAAATATGAAGACTTTCTTTTTGTCTTTGGCCACCGTATTTTATAAATTTGTTCTTTTCAGACTGCAATTTTGTTCTGCTCAGAAATTTGTGAATAATTTTATCTGACTTTGTTCTTAAAGCTTTTAGTGTAAAAGCTAAATATATTCTTTTGTATAGCCTTTGTTTCACTTGGAGAAATGGAGACTTGATTTGACTTTTAATTCATTGTTAGGCATTTTAGAAAGCTGGTTATTATTTGAAAAAATATGCAAAAGCAGTAAATTATAAGTAGGAGTTTTCTTTTTTGGTAATGTTGATTTGCTTATACAAAGATATGTGTTGATTATATATAATACATTTTGATATTACCCTACTTATTTTTAAAGGAAAATGATATAACCTTCTGTAATTATAATTTTAATAAATAACAAAGACAAAATTATATTTGGGGACCCTACGTGACCTAACTCTTGGGATGCTATTATTCAAGGCAACTAAACTTTTAAGTTATGAACTATAGGAGAATGTAATAAATATTCTTTATTGCCTTTTATTTTTCAGTGGGTTGAACATCAAAGTTCCACACTGGCTTTATAGCACTTTATGTAGCAAATAATAGAATATGTTTAAAGTAAAAAAAGTTTTAGAAGTTGTACCAATTTCAATTTTAAATACAACTTTAGCAAGTGTGCTAAGGTTTTAAATAATACATGGTGGTAAAATTAGCTCTTTAACTTTTTGCCACTCAAATTAAGAAATTGCCAGTTCAGAGATGTCTTTTCTGATATATAATTTGATTACCAGTTGCCATTTTGGGGCTATTTAAATGTGGGGAGAAGGTAGATTATGATTTTATTGCTTTCACAGCTGCCCCGTTAATTCTTTTCTAGTTTTAATAAACACTGCTTGTTAATTTCATAGAACTTCAGTTTATGTCCTGAAGTATGTTTTCAGAAAATAGAAAGCCAAGTATATTTTTTAAGTGCCCCAATTGACTTTCATTTAACATTAAGGTTTTCCTATATGAATGTGAATGCAAAGAAAATTTTTGTGTTTTACAAATACAGGAATAAAAGTACTCTGGGTTAGTTATAATGTTATCTTCTAAAACCTTACAAAGAGAATAATAACAGTGTGACTTTTTTAAGGGGATGAAACCATGCTTTCTCTTTTGATGTCACTATATAATAAAGCCATCATCATACCCTCATGTGGATATCCTAGACAAGAGGTTCTACATGTGGTCCCTTGATAATTGCCTAAATTAAAATATTAAAGGCCGAAAAGCCGCTGAGTTGACCTTTTTCTGTCTTGCTGCAGACAGATGAGCTGCTGTTTATTAGGAAGGCTTCTTCCCACAGGTGAGGAGCTTCCGCTTCTCTCTTCCCACCCCTTTACAATGTTGGGCATCAAAGTCCTGCTGTTCTTGCAGCTTCGATTAAATTCTTCCATCCTCAAGACCCCTAGGACATGCTTGACAGTCTTAAGTATTTTGATTAGCTTTTAAATACTTCAGATTCCTAAACTTAGGCACCATAATTTAATAACTATTTCATCCTCAGCAACTGCTCATTTAAAAAGTTTTACATGGCTAACCTCTGTGCCTTATTGCTGATATCAAACTGGGAGATGAAAACAAGAATCAGCGATGTACTAACTTGTTGGCTGGTTAACAACAATCAGCCTCTTCAAAAGAATTTTTTGAACTTGTACTATTCCTCCACGCCCCCCATGAAAATCACAAAATCAGAACTCTAATTGGGGCTGTGTCCTTACAAAGCAAAGCCATGAAAAAAGCTGTGTAAACAGTGAAGTCTCAGGGGACTAACAGTAAGAGAAAAAAAGTGTTTTACAGTTGAGAGGGTGAGGCAAAAAAGGAAAGTGTTGCAGACATGAAAGGCTCAGAACCAGCTTTCCTGTGGGGCTGATGAGCTGAGCCCCCAAGTCCTGCTGCATGGCTTGAGTGGGTTCCTCACTGGAACTCTCAGACGCTGCAGTGAGGGCATCATTCATGCTATGCTTCAGTTGGAGACACCATCAAATAGCTACAAACGCATAGCAGGATAGTGATGTAGAAATGCTTCTCTCCCCAACCCCTTTTTTCTTAGTTTCTTCATTTAGTGGGAAAACAAAAATATGTATGACTGAATATTGACAGACCAAGATAATTTGGTCTCTATATATTTCTATATTGTTGTTCTATTTTCCAGAAACTAAATGTCGAGATTGAAATTATCCATCTGTTCCATGGAAATTAAATTTGTTGTTAGAAACATATGTGTACAATATGAAGTTACTCTCATTTTTTCTGTCTTCCAGGTCCGAGTTGACAGCGGTATCCAACCAGGAAGTGATATTAGCATTTACTATGATCCAATGATTTCCAAAGTTAGTTCAATTTTTAATGGCTTCTTTCAATTTTATTCTGAAGGGCAATAGACCTATTTAATTAAGAAGTTTGAAATTGGTTCTTTATCTGAATCAGTTCTGCTATAATTAAACAAGGACTTGTGTACTGATGGAAAAGTAAAAGCAGAACAGATTTTCTTTGAAGAGAGAAATTCAATATCATGTTAGTTTCCATCACCCCTTCTTCCCTCATCAACTCAAATCAAACTACTACCAGCCAATAACAAACTTATCTAATCAGTGACACCAACCCAGCCTATTGCAGTGAGAAGGAGTTAGGGTGTTTTCTGGCCATTCCTGAAAATTGCCTGCGATAAAACTAAGAATGGCAGGTGATGTCAAAGAGTTTGGGTGATAGGCTGTGTTTGTCAGAGTACTTTTTACTTTTTCTCTTCAATTTTTATAAATCACAAATTTTGTAGGTTTCACATAATTAAATTGTATGTAAAGTATAGGATTTCTTTTTTGCCTATCTGTCTTTTAAATTGGACTTTCCGAAATAAATTAGCTCTACTTAAATCTTTAAATTTTTAAAATCTTCAGAATTTTAAGATCTTATAAAATGTAAAATTTTGACCGCTGTTGTTAAAATTGTGGGTTTTATTGAGGAAATTCTATTTTTTCTAAACTTTCAGACTTGTATTAAAGAATGACTTCTTTATTATAAATCTTTCTCAAGATGTTTTTTCTCCATATTTTGGGGGACTTTTAATGTAGTTGCAGTAAACAAACCATTTTTTCCTTTTTTTTCACTTGTTTAAATGAACTTTAGGTATTTTGTTTGTTAGAGAAACGCTATTTAATAAAACATACATTAAAATATTATAGATCAATTTATACGAATATAGTTTCATTTTAGATGAATGCATATCTGTTCAGAAAAGTGGCCTGCAAATGAATTTTCATACTGGCTATTGAAAATACTAAAAACTACTAAATGTATTACATAAACGTGTTGAATGTACTAAAATGCAAACTACAAATTGACTAATGTAATAACCAGAAAACTCTTTCATGAATAGTTAAAGTGCTATTTTACTGCTAATTTGTATAAGGTACATGTAAATAAGCACAAAATCATATAGGACAGTAAGTTTTTTAGTACAAGAACCCATTGCTTCTATATTATGTTATTTGTAAATATTAGCTATTCAAGGTTTCAAACTTGGAACCCACAGAAAAATAGGGAAAACCTCTTTCTTAATCTCCCACTATCCCAGATGTTTCCTTTTGATTTCTTTCCTTTAAAAAAGTTTATGCTTATTTTTATTTATCTCAAATAACTCTTTACTGTGATAGTGAACTGTAGGAGAAAAGTCTGAAATAGCTTGATTCAAATATTCATTTATTTAGAAAAATCTTGATATACTTAATTTATATAGAACCACTGTGAAGTTTTGAAAGATAATATGGGATATTATGGGAAGTGAATTGTTCGATGGATTGGTCTATATATCTATATAAATCTTTTTGTTTGCTTGCTTTTAGCTAATCACATATGGTTCTGATAGAACTGAAGCACTGAAGAGAATGGAAGATGCACTGGATAATTATGTTATTCGAGGTAAAAGCAAACATTTTAGGTCCTGTTATCCCTGGAATTCTAGAAAAATAGCTTGAAGATTTACTAATTAGCAAATTTGATACAATATTTGTTTAAGTGGAATAAAAAAAAGCTTGAATTAATTAAACTGACATACTAATTAAGAATAAGTATTTCATTTTCTTTAGCAGTCCTATACCTTACATATATATCTTAAATCATAAGTTTCGTTAAATAGCTTAATTTATGACCTTTCCTAGATGAACATAAAGTTTTTTATATGTAAAATGATTCTTTATACTGAAGACTCTGGTGGGTGCAGTTTGACAGCAGATTTGTTATATTATTATTGTCTTTGGTTTTTTGAAGTATGAAACTTGAAAATGTGTGGAGATAGGAAATATTGTGGCCTACATTTGACTAACTTGAGAGTAGAAAGAAGAGCTCTTTGTTTCTATGAACTAGAGAAAATTATAGCATATTTTCTAGGAAATACAATTTTGTTACCTCATGTGCATACAGGATAGTTCTAATATCCAACAAAGTGAGAGTCTATAAGCCTTTAGGGTATGTAGTGATAACTGAATTAGGACCAGCCATTACACTTAAAGAATTAAAATAGAGTTACACTTACTCCCCTTAAGGAGTAAATTGCATTCTAAATGTTATTAGCAACTTTTCATTCATAATCAAAAGATCATTTTACATTAGCTCAACATAAATTATCATCAGCTTCAGGATAATGGACTTCAACATCAAATTTAAAGTGTAAAATATAAGTTCACTTAGAATTATGACTGAATCATGTAGGAAAGACCATATGTAAACAATATTGAAAGCCCATTTTAGGTCCTTCTCAGTACTGTGTGTAGCATTATAAGCTTTCATTGCACTTTGTCCTATTGCTTCACCAAAGCATTTATCATAACTAATTGAAGAATCAATTGTGTAATTAATTGCTAAGTGTTGGATTATCCCATAAGAATATTAGGTACATGAGGGCAGCGATGGTGTTTATCTTGTTTACTTATATATTACGGTACAAGTGCTTAGCAGTGTCTGACACATGATAACTGATGAATTCATATTTGTTGAATGAATTCATGAAAGACTGAGTGATAACTGTACCTATTTCAAGGAATTTCTAATAAACTTGGTGTGAAAAATACATAAAGATGAATATAATATAAATTGGTAAATGTCTTAATAGTGGAGTGAAAAAGTAGAGTGGGAATTCAAAGGTGCAGAGGATATCTCTTTTCTCACCACCCCCTTTTGGTCCTTTGAAAGTCATGTGAGTACTGCATTAGGGCTCATAGGTGACTGTTGAGAGTACCTCACTATGTGATTCCTTCAAACAACACCCTAGAGTAGCAGCATTTTTTAATGGACTGGTAACTTACTGGCTAGGTGAAATGAAAGGATGGCACACGCAGGCATCTTTGGAATGTGACTTGCTATTGTCTTGTGGAAAAACAACCTGGCGTTAGATGTTAAAATAAAAGTACATACCCTTTGACCTACTTGTTCAGTTTTTGGGAATCTTTCCTAGAGAGTTAAAAGACTGACTTGTGAGATGATGTTTACGGGGACATTTACAACAGCATTGTTTGTAGTAGCCTAAATTCGGATTCACCAGTGTTGACTAAATGGATGAAGGATTGAGTAACTTACTGTGCACCTTCACTATAAAATACTAAGTAACTATGATTTGAAGGCATGTCCATATGTGTTGTTAAAGTAAAAAAGCAATTTGAAGAGTAATGTTAGTGCAATCTCATATTAGTTAAACCACCTTCCCATCCTAAAATAGGTTTCATTGTGTTTGGATGAGCATAAAGATGTGGTTGTGTACACATTACGACCTCTTCTAATCCTTGAGGAAACAGGTTTTCTGGATGCAGAGTGCTTAGGCTAAGAAGGTATTCCGAGGGGGCTGTACCCTTTACCAAAATGAACTCCTAATTCTCTTTCCTTTTCATTGGCCCTGCTGTCCTATGCTACCACTATCTATATCATGGACTGGCGCATAGCTTCCTGAATGGGTTCTCTATACCTGCTCTTTACCTGCACCAATCCATTCTTCAGTATGGACCAAATAAACTTTTTAAAATGAAAACCCAATTATTTATCACTTCCCTACTAAAAACTGTTTAGTGTCTTCCTGTTCCTTTCGTGTGGATGCCACAGTTTCATTTTTATCACTTTCTCTCATGCCCTCCTTCTTCCTGCTTCACTATTGTTTTCATTTCCTAGGATGTGCTGTTTTCTTTCCACCTGAGGATCTTCAAAATTAGGTTATTGTTAAAACAGCTATAGCAAAGAGAGTAAAAAACAGTGACTTGAGAAAGATACAGTTTAATTACTTTCCCCTGTAATAATCTAGGAAGGATGTTGTCAGGGGCTGTTCAGGTGATTCTTATATTCACAGCAAATGGTTTTCCTTTTGGGTCCAAAGTGACTGTGTTTGTGCCCATCATCAGGCCTCAGCAGGAAGGTGGCAGGGGCAGTGGAGGTTATGTGCTCCCCTCCTTTTGGTGCTGAATCATAAGGTCATACATGGCTGCTAGGAAGGTGAGAAATGTGGTTGATATCAAGTGGCCATATATTAAGCTAAAAAGTAGCATTTCTTTTATTAGGGGAAGGAAGGGAGAATAGATATTGGTGCATGACTAGGGAAATAAATACATCTGCTCATTTGTGGAAACACATACACACAAGACCAGAACTAATAAGATGGTGTACCTACAGGAGATGGAGGAAGGATCTGCTGGAAATGATTGGGAAGCGTGAAACAAAATACATGGCATGAAGGGAGAGACTTCTTTGATTATACATTTTTGTATAATTCTGACTTTTAGATCTATAGTAATATTCAAAATAAGTAAAATCATTAATGTTCTAGGGAAAAAACTCAAGTGGAATACAAAGAGAAGCAAATGGACAGGAGTCTATGAATCATATACTTATGCTGAAGGAGAGAGAAAACAGCTAACCTAAAGAGCTTTTAGCAGTATTTTGATTGATAAGCTAAAGACAAAATATATGTAAATAAATATGAAATTCTAGTTAGGAGATTTTTTTTTCCCTAGTTCATGGGTTAGTAGTTCTGAAACCAGTTTATGTCTATTCTGGGATTGAGGAAATAAAAACATTTTGGATAAGAAATGAAAAAGAATTCTTAGTTTTTGCCATAGATTGAAAAATAAGTATATAAATATATGTTATTGTATATGTTTATGTTTGTGAACATGCATATGTATATGCCCATATATAAATATATTCTCTAGCTCAGGGTTTCTCCATCTTAGCACTATTGACATCTTGGGGTAGACAATTCTTTGTTGTGGGGGCCTATCCTGTGCATCATAGGATATTTATCAACATTGTTGGCCGCTACTCACTAAATAGCAGTAGCGTCTCCTCAGTTATGACAACTAACATTTCCAGTCATTGCTATATGTGCCCTGGGGAACAAATTGCCCTTGATTGAGCACACCAGGCATCTAGATCTTGTTATCTAAATACCATCCTTCCATGAATGGAATCAGTACTCATTGATAACATGGCTGATTTCAGTAAGAGTATAAGATGAGCTAAAATACCTTGTATAAGAAAGTAATTAAGTGTTCAAAAATGATACGGCAAAGATACAGGAGCCAGCTTTAAGAGGCTCCCACTGACCAATCAGGGAAATTTCAGCAAGAAGATAAATAATGCTAGCAATTTATTAAAATCCATGGAATAAAATAAGAGTCTAGGAGTTCTTATAGATATAAATAGTTGAGTATGATAATTGAGGGAGAAGGCACACTTCTTCCCTTACAGTAGAATTTTAACTAATAAGTGTAGAAAAACACTTGGCAAACACCACATTGTTTAGGTAAAAATCATTAGTGATGGATGCTAAAGTTAATGGGTGAAAATTAGTTAAGTATAATAGGAAAATAGTACCTTTAAAAATGGAAAAACCTAGCAACTTAGAAGATCAAAATTAATATCATTGGTAATGAGACAGATCAACATCATGTGCCTCTTGATATGATGCACTGAAAAGAGCACATCATTTCTGCGACATTCTTTTAAAAAATGTATAACGTGAGTATAATCAGGAGAAAACATCAGACAAACCAAATTGAAAGACAGAGTACAAAATAAATGGTTTGTACTCTTCAAAAGTGTCAAGGTCAAGGAACACAAAAGTGGATCAACTTATCTAGATCAAAGGAAACTAAGGACACATGACAACTAAATGCAATGTGTCATCCTGGATTAGTTTCTGGACCAGAAAAAATTGTTTTTTCTTTTGTAGTAAAGGTCATAAATGGGACAATTGGTGGAATTTGAATAAGGCCTTTAGATTAGGTAACGATGCTGTTATCAATGTTAATTTTCAGATTTGGTCATTGTACTGTGATTACATAAGAGATTTACTTTGGTTTTAGGAAATATACACTAAAGTATTTAGAGATTAAATCCATATTGTCTGCAACCTGCCCTAAATGTTTCAGAATAAAACAAAAACAAAAAACAAAATACCAAAAAAAACAAAAACAAACAAAAAACTGTGTAGAGAAAAAGAGGGAAGGAGGAAAAATGAATGACAAAACAAATAAATGTGATAAGATGTTGTTAACATTTGGAGAATCTGGGAAAAGGATATAAGTAATTCTTTGTATCCTATTTTTGTGGAGGTTCTATAATTTTGAAATTATTCAAAATAAAAAGTTTTAAAAATAGGCAAAGAGGAGTATACACCCTCCTCTCTCCAAAGTTAACATGTAAGGAATAAAAACAGATGCATTTACAATTTGTAATTATGTATCATTCATCTGACTAATTCTAAAGGAGAGAGGGGTTTAAAAAATATGTTATGAAGGACAGAAAAGGAAGGGCAATTTACTGTCTAGTTTGATAGCTGTTTAGTTGTTTAATTATGTTCCCCCCACCCCAAGTTGATGGTGAGTTTTTGTTAAAATAAAGAATCTTTACAGCAAAAATAAATTAGTGAAAGTTAACTT